AAAAATTTAAATTAAAAAAAAGTGATGTGCAGAGGGTTTACAGTCACATAAATCAGTAAAGAATACATTTCTTTTTGGACCACATCACCTCCTCTTGCTCTCTCTCCCAGTTTAATGACAGAGGTCTAGCAACTCTTGGAAATACATATTTTAAAAAAGTTACTCAGGGACATATTGACTTTGGTGTTGTCTCCCACAAGAATGAGCACCAAAACTACCCTAGAACACCAATGAAATAAGAAGAAAAAAAATTAAGGAAATGGGGACATGTTCTTCAAAGGAAATCACTGGAGATGGGTTCACTGCAAATGAAACATATTGTCCAAATTCCTAGTAAACATAACTTTGCCAATATTTCAGATGGCCAAAATTTATGTCTGATTTTATATTTCATGACATGAAAATACAAAGGATTTAAGTGTTGTACAAGCATTTGAAGACTGAGCAAAACAGCAACATCATAGAATCTAAGTGACCTCGCTACTAAACTATTGTTCAGTGCTCTAATGAAAGTTCTGAATAATTTTAAAAGCATTTCTTAAAATAAATAAATCTATAGACACTAACTTGACAGCTGCAGCCCAATGATCATTCTCTGTGTCTAGGTTTATTATTCACAGAACCCACATGCAAATATTTTAATATTAAATTAGGGGAATGTAATGAGGAAATTGAAAATATCTAGGACAGGAATAATTAAAAAAAAGCTTTTCTTCTATTCCTTTCCTGCAAGACCCCAAAATATCATCAGAATGGATGAGGAAGGCTTAGACTTTTGAATGTTTTAATCTCTTGGGTTATAAACAACATTGTATGTTTTAATAGAATTGAAATTTACTCTAGAAAGATTATATGATTGATGTGTTTCAATAACTTCTATGTATACTTATCTGTCACTTGATACAAGTTGAGTCAGGATGTAACTAGCAATATTGACCATCTGTATGTTGCTGTTCTAATCACTGTAATTCTACTCATAATTGTAATGCTAAAGATGAGGACATCTATCTTGAAAATACCTGAGCCCTGATGAGAAGCACTTCCGGGGAAAAAAATTACTGAAGAAGGAGGAAAGCAATAGCCATAGGGGAAGCAATAGCAGAAAATGACCTGGTGTTTGGGGGGGTCTGCTGGAGGGCAGACCGGGAGTGGGCGGGCAGCAGAGTAACATCGGCCTACCAGTCCTGGCACCTGAGAGTCTTAAGCAAGTTTCCTAAGAGGCTGAGAGACAGAAGCAAGGTGCTAGCATTTCATGCATCAGCCCTCCACTGAGGTGGGGAGGGGTAGTGAGGGCTAAATGAAAGAACACTACATGATGGTGACACTTGCTACTTGTACTGTTGCTGACAAAGCTTCTAGATCATTCCCTAATGATTACTGCAGTGATCTAATTATTCCATCTTTCTTTTTGGTAGTCATTTTTTATTGTTTGTTGTTATTCTGGGTTAAAGTCTGGCTATATAACTCAGGCTGGGCCCGAAATTAGCTATGTAGCCTAGACTGACCTCAAACTCACGATCCTTGTGTCTTAGCTTCCTGTCAACCGTACATGTGTGCACCACCAACCATCTCTTCAACGGCAAGTGTATATAAGTTTCAGATCTATATACCCATGTGTTTGGCTACATTACCGTGCTTAATTTGTACTGTTCCCAAAGCCAGGTATGCGCAAGAGAAAAACTCAATGTGTTCAGAGCTTGCTACATGACTTCAGTCACCACTAGGAGTTTGGGGCATATTTTCTATGGATAACAGGGACTAGTGGAGTATTACTAAAGAAAAGAATGGCTGGGGCTGGGAAGGTGGCTCAGTGGTAGAGTGCTTGCCTTGCATGCATGAGGCCCTGGGTTCGATTCCTCAGCACCACATAAGCAGAAAAAGCCAGAAGTGGCATTGTGGCTCAAGTGGTAGAGCGCTAGCCTTGAGCTGAAGAGCTGAGGGACAGCGCCTAGGCCCAGAGTTCAGGCCCCATGACTGGCAAAAAATAAGAAAGAAGAGAAAGAAAAGAGGGAAGGAAGGAAGGAAGGGAAGAAGGAAGGAAGGAAGGAAGGAAAGCAGGGAGGGAGGGAGGAAGGAAGGGAGGGCAGGCTTTAAATGTGTTTAATTTCTTTTTACACTATGCCCTCTAGTATAAATGAATACAGTTCCCGCAAGAGCTAGGATAAAATAAATTTGTTACTAAAAATCCCTTCTTTCTGTTGTACACATGGCACATGCCTACTGTAGGTAGAAGTGACAACTGATTTTTTTTAAAGGACTGGATACAATGAACCCAATGTATATCCTACAAAATTAAGAAGAGTGAAGTGAGGGGCAGGGAGGAGAAGGATGGGTGAGGATGTTGAAGGGGTGCCACTGACCAAGACATATTTTACTCACAAACAGCTTTGTTCGATGGCAACTCCTCTGTACAACTACTTAAAGATACTAATTTAGAAAAGTATGTGAAACTCTATCACCTTCTGGGGGTGGATAACGTAGGTCTATTTAATGAATACACACATTTGATAACATAAACCAACAGTCCTGTGACTATCCCAGTCCACACTGGAATCGTCCTTGGAGATGGAAGGAAGGTTAGGGACTGCCTGTCGAACGGATTCCTAAGCATGAAACCTGAAGACCTGTAGATATTCGATGTACATTCTCCAGCTTTGATTCTTCCTGTGGTTGTTTATTTTTCTGGGCTGTTTCTGGGCTTTTGACTCATGCCCTCATTTGGCTGTTCTGTCTCATAGCTAGCACTCTACTGCTTGTGCCATGCCTTCGTTTCTGGCATTTTTGCTGGTTCATTGGAAATAAGAGTCTTTCACAGTTAGTAGCCTGAGTTGACTTCAAACAGAATCCTTAGATCTCAGCCTCCTGAGTATCTAGGATTACAGGCACGAGCCACCACCATCCAGCCCTACCTTCCAGTTTAAAGAGCACTTTCATGATTAACATCACACTTCACTGTTAAGTCTGAGAGTGAAGTAATCTCACCTCCCACTCACAAAAAGGAGGACAAGGACTTTTCCAAGGCCACTTACCCTAGAACAGGAAGGGCAGAGATGCTGTGGAGCTTCTGCCCTCAAGGCCAGGAGTTTGCCTCCTGTGCTACTGCTTTTTATTCAAGCCAATACTTCTCTCAATGCTTCTGTGGAGTTCGAGTCTCAGACTGCATCAAGGCAGAATAAGAAATTGCAGCGGGCTCCAGGGACGCGCCAGGGTTCTGCTCCCGAGTGAGCTAAGTTATTATTACCCTACTGCTCGGCGCTAGTGCTGGCGAGCAAACCCACTGGCTGTGAGTGGGCTCAGTGCTTTATGTAACGAGGATCTACTTACAGCACAAGCCAAACCCATTGAACAGCTGTGCTTCTATGAAGCGGTTATATTTGGCTGGGCCTTGACATGGCTGTGAACATACTGCCCAGGGTTTGGAGTTATCCTAAAAGAGACCGTTTTGTAATCTAGGGCTTTCTGGTCAGTTGCTCCTCACAAGGTTTCCTTGTCTCCTCATTTGTACTGCTCTACTAGAATAACATGTGGTGGTCACGACCACATTGATTTATTTGAGCGATGCCAAGCAAGACTGGTTTACTTTGTTTACAGCTTCCACCGAGTCAAACTGTCTGACTTGGCCTAACCTAAGACATCTCCTGCTAACTCGCAGGACCCTGGATCGATATGTTAGGTTGCTGATGTGATTCTACTGATGGCAGTTCATGCACTGGGTTGAACACCAAGCCAACTCACCCAATTTTAAGATGCCATTAATCTTAGTGACAAGGAACGGTGACTGGCTAGTAATAAGCAGAATATTTGCCCGTTTTGCCATTTACTGGACACACGCAGGTATACATGGAAAGATACCTTATAAAAAAGTACACGGAGCTGGAGATGTGCAGCTGCCATCTGTAATCCTGGCTACTGAGGCAGCTGAGAGCCAGAGGATCAATGTTTGAGACTAGCAGAAACGTTTGATAGCCTCCATTACCAAAAGCACCAACATAGAGCAAGGCTGGAGGTGAGGCTCCAGTGGCCATCACAGCCTACCAAGGATGAGACACTGAGTTCAAACTCCAGCACCACCAAGAAAGAAAGGAAAACGTAAATAAAGGGGCAGCAAGGAGACTTATAATTTGAGAGTTCGTCTCTGAAGACTCATTATTATTCAAAATACTTATTATTATTCAAAATCATGCATATTAAATAATGCTTTTCAATATAGTGGTCAGCTGACTGGAGTCCAGTGTCTCTAGTTCTAATAACCCATGAGCACAGGGAAGGTATGTGGGGTTAAAGAATGAGCAACATGTCTTATGAATTTTTAAATCAGGTTTAGAATATAGTTGCCAATATCTCCCAGGACACCCTGAACTTCACCTTTTTGTTATGCTTTTAGATTTTATCTGGTCTTGTGTGTGTGTGTGTGTGTGTGTGTGTGTGTGTGTGTGTGTGTGTGTATGTGTCTGTCTGTCTGTCTCTCTGTCTGTACAGGGCCTTCAACTCAGATCCTGAGCTCTTGTGTGGCTCTTTTATTTATGGCGGTCACTCTAGGCCTTCACCTCTACCTCTGGCTTTTTGCTAGTTAACTGTCAGATTTGTTGGTCTGGACTGTCTCTGAATTACAGTTCTCAGATCGCAACCTCTGAACAGCTAGGACTACAGGTGTGAGCTACCTACCTGTTCCTAGCTTATCTGAACACTTTTGTTATAATTTATTCTGTTAGTCTTTCTCTGGAATTTAAGGTCCTTTGGGTGAGGTTATTGTCACCTTTATCTAGGTTCATTTCCAGTGCCCAACTCAAGGGGATGTGTCTAGCAGGTGCTCAGAACACACTGGATGAAGGAATGAACTGATAATGTCCCACAGCCATATTGATTTCTACCAAGAGAGTTTCATTACCTAAAGGCTTGAACAATTGTGCATTCCCTTTTGTTCTGCTTAGTACAGATGTCCTAATTTGAATGTTTCAGCTTCAAATAAAAAGACTGACAAATTTATAGAAGAGATTATAAAATATGTGCATGGGTTAGCAGTTTTTCTGTGACAATATAGCTCAACTCTTCTAAATTTCATAGGAATTTCATAGTTCCATTATTAAAACTGTTGAAAGTTGCTTTGGCTTAGCAATACACAACACTGTTTAATGTGCCTTACAACTTTGGGTTATCATAAAGACATCTTTAAAAAAAATTTGTATCCAGTATTTCTCATAAAAAGTTTGGCAGTAGAATTTAGAATATATTTACTGCATTGTATGCTGGAAGGTAGCCATAATTATTCTCATAATTATTCCTATATTATTTTCATGTTATAAGAAATAAAAGCAGCCAGGCACCAGTGGCTCACACCTGTACCACAAGCTACTCAGGAGACTGAGATCTGAAGATTACAGTTTGAAGCCAGCCTGGGTAGAAAAGTCCCCACAAGACTCTTATCTCCAATTAACCACTCAAAAACTCAAATTGGCACTGTGGCTCAAGTGGTAGAGTGCTAGCCTTGAGCACAAAGAGGCTCAGGGATAACACCCCAGCCCTGAGTTCCAGCCCCACAACTGACAAATAAAAAAAGAAAGAAAAGGAAATAAAAGCATAGCATAATGAACACGAATTTTTTAACACACAAAATCCATGTGGTAAAGGTCAGAATCCTGTGTTCCATGAATGTAAAGCTCACCTGGAATTAGGTTATTTTCTAACAGTGTGGCAGACGCCTTACATATTATCTTAGGATGCAAGACCCTATTTGACCTAAGTGGAGGAATGGAGACCCCAAGGTCTCTTTTCAAAGAAGCCTTCTGGGGCTATAATTTCCGGACCTAATTGTTTGCTTATCTCCCTGTCAGTAGCACAGGAAAGGAGATGACATCCTGGGCCAGAGGTCTCACCCAGCAGTCACATTTGTGCAACCGGAGCATCTGGTGGCCCTGAAACCAAATGCAATGAGGAAGATTCACACCCACAGCCCCAGGAGGAAAGAGAATGGAGTTGTGCGTCCGCCCGGAGCTCAAGGAGCGAGGAAGGTGAAGGAGAGGTACCTGGGTGACAGCGGCCTCCGTGTGAGCCACCGGTGAGGGGGAGCGGCAGGCCGGCGGGGAGGACATCTCGCTGTTGGTTCCCTCCTCCCCGGACTCTTCCGTGACAGGGGACAGCAGAGTGTGACAGCGACCTGCCGTCATCTGATACAGGAAACGCGGCCAGAAGGACAGGGAAATCAGTTAGCCAGGGGAGCAAAAATCCTGGCCAGATGCGAGGCCAAAACAGATCATTATGTAACATGGGTGCTGGTGACTGAGGCACTCATTTACATACGAAAGTCTGTGTTCACAAAAAGTTTGTGTTCAAGTGCCTACTCCTAGGGAATCATTCGCAAAACAAACTCAGATGGGGGTGTGCATGATATCCGAGTTTTGCTGTTGATCAAAAACTTATTTTCTATTTAATCTATTTTTTTAGTGCTGTGTCTTTATAAATAACTCCCTTGCCCCCCACCCAAAAACACAAATCATCTGAGTAAGGGAAAACAAATTTATGAATTGCAATGCTCTCTTTGGCATCTCAAGTTCCAAATATCTTAGGGAAATAAATGCATCAAAAACAACACCTTAGGCGGAAGTAGTAGAGTGTCCTGAAGTCAATCCCCAGAACCCAGCAAGAAAGAAAAAAAGAAAAAGGTACATAAACAAAGCAGTCTATTTCTCCAGAGGCACACCTCTGTGGGGCTTTATACTGCTTCAGGCACAACTCGTGGGAAAGAAAATAGATAGTGCAGGTTAGGCAGGAAGTGACTGAACACAGTGCAGTCTCCATGGGAGAAATAAACACCGTGGAACAGAAATCCACGCAATTTATTTCTTGAAACCCGTGGCTAAACTTTGAATTCTCTATTGCTATGGTTTTGTTTCCTCATCATAGTTTCTCTTCTAAATTTCATTCAACATGCACACAAACAGAGTGCGAGCAACCTACCTCGTTAGCTAGTTCCCCCTGGAAAATGTAACTAAATATATGTATTGTAATTTTCCCATCCCCCAGAAGACCAGACCACCCGTGCAAAGGACTTTTTTTTTTTTAACACACAAAGCACAGAGTCTTTCAGTATTATGGCTAAATTAGAATCAAATGAAAAAAAAAAAGATTTGGATGGGGAAACCCAGAACCTCAAGCCAATCATTTCATTTCATTTCAACTGGTACTGTTTATGGCTTCGGTCCTAATGTACTCCAAGCGAATGAAGCAAACAGCTCTTTAATTCAAACCTAAAAGGCAGATGTATGTGTAAATGAAGCCTCAGAAGGGATCCAGGCCCACCAGGGAGGGTCCAGTCTAGAGAGCAAAGCCGGCCCCCAGCGGGACCGACCTGAGCCTTACCATGACCACAGAGGGGTAGGCTGAGGGTGTGGGGAGGAGCTCCCCGTCCAGGTCCTCCGTCCCTTCTGCCAGTCCCTCCACCTCTGTCACCGTCAGGAGCATGGTGGCGTGCTTGGCTTTCATGGTCAGCATCTTACACTTGGAATTCAACGAGGCGATCTGCTCCTGGTAGCCCTTGATTTTGTGCGCCAGCTCCTGGGGAAACATTTGCCAGGCGCGGTGTGTTAGAGCAGCCGGGATAGGAAGCTTGTCACAGCATTCATCTTCCTGCAGCGCCGGCCAATGAGATGGCAGCGCTTGCAAGGCAGGATGTGCAGCAGCAGCAGCGGCCACAGCCAGCCAGCCTGCATCTCCACTCAGCCCCGAGCCAGACCACAGACAGACAGAGGCCCGCAGCCAGCCCCACCCCCGCAGGGGCACTGAGGGAAGACCAGGCGCTTCAGGAAGAACTTCTAATCCTGGGGAGATGCTTTCTTTGCAAGCATGAATCTCTAACAATCCAGAACAGGCAACCTGCTTTGCAAGGTCTTAAAAGGCGTTTGAAATGTACCAGATGGTTCATGCCATGGAAATGAGGTCATGTGATAACTAAAACTTAAAAAAAAAAGCAGTGCTCAGCTCTTGCACTGAGTCCATCCAAGAGCTGGCTGTCATTTATTCTGGATGGGTCACAAAATGAAATGCCTGTCCCGTTGTTGTTGTTGTTTTTAATCCTCCCGATAAGCTAGATATTATATATGAAATTGTTCCCCAAATAAAATGTTGTACATTCCACCAAATTTTCTCTCCCACACTCTTAGCACAGTTCAAGTATTTCTGAGCCGCCAAACCTTAAAGTGTTATTCCAATTTAATGGCTTAAAGTGTTATTCCAATTTAATGGCTTTTAACTGCCTTTGCTTTTGAAAAATACTGTGACAGAATAGTAGATAGCAGTTTAAAGACTTTTTGTGAAGAGGTTATTGGAAACTCATTATGGAGGGAAGATAGCTCTCATTAAGATCATAGGTTATTAAGATCTATTTTAGGAGAATGGTAATCTTAAATATTGTTACACTTTCTTGACTGAATATACATTATAAAGATTACATATTTTATATACCTTCATGCAAATCACTTATTCTTTTCTATCCCTTTTATTTGGCTCCTTTGCCGGGGAAAGCTGTCATTTAATGTCATTTATGTCATTGTGTACAGAACACATCCTGTCCCAAAGATGTTAAGTATCTGTGTGTTCAAATGATATTATATGTCCTTGCATGTTCATTCGTGTATATGGATGTAACACACACAGGTTTTTTACCATGCTGTTAAGTGTTCTTTTTTCTCCCATCTCCCAACCAAAACTGAGAGGAAGGACAATCAGTCCAGATGAACTCAGCCACAGCCTCAACTTCCTCATTCCAATGCAGAGCAGAACAGGAATTTTTAAACTATAGTTTTAAAAAGGAGCCATTACACTGGGCACTAATGGCTCACGCCTATAATCCTAGCTACTCTGGAAGCTAAGATCTGAGGACTGAAGTTCAAAGCCAGCCTGAGCAGGAAACTCCAGCGACTCTTATATCCAATAAACTACTCAGAAAACCTGGAAGTGGCATGTGGCTCAAATGGTAGAGTGCTAACCTTGAGCAAAAGAAGTTCAGGGACAGTGCCTAGGCCCAGAGTTCAAGAAAAAAAAAAATGAGCCATTACTTCTTTACTGCTGCAGCTGTAGATTCTCAATTACTAAATAGTTGTGAGTTTTTTTGCACTGAACAGATATATGGACTCCGATGGCTAGGACGTGGGTACTCTAAATGATATTGGTTATCATTGGTTCACATGGATGCAAACAGAGGCCAGCAGCCAGCTCACTGAGCTCCTTGGATGCAAACAGAGGCCAGCAGCCAGCTCACTGAGCTCCTTGAATCCCAGGAAACCGAGTTTTCTTGCAATGGCTTAGTGCCTTGCCCTCTAAGAGTAAATGAGGTCATCCCTTGTGGAGTTGACAGACTCAGACTTTGCCTGTTCCCACCAGTGACCTAGGACTGGTTCCAGCTGCTGCTGTCTAGCCTTGCAGAAGTACACACCTAATCACAGTGAATGCCCTTTCCTGTGTAGAAATCTACATTATATTTAACCCTCCTCTGTAACTCAAATGCAACTTCAGGGCTAGGCCTCGTGGTGTACCACTGTAATCCCAGAAGTCCAAGGCCAGTCCCAGGCCAAAAGGAGGAGACCCTACGAGAAAAATAACTAAGGAAAAAGGGCTGTGGATGTAGCTCAAGTAGAAGAGCACTTGCCTTGCAAGTTCAAGTCCCTGAGTTCAAACCCCAGCACCACCCAAAAAAAAACAAAAACAAAAAGCAGCTGTTACCACTTCCAATGGATGATGAAAATCTGAATTTCAAAGTTAACTCAGGTTAAGCCTGCCTGTATGATTTTTGTGGGCTGATTATTTATGCTGTGACAAATCCACTGAAATAAAATGAAGTGTTAGCGTGTTAATGAGTTACTCATTCTCAGAAAAAAAAATGTGTATTTTAACTTTCTTTCCTTTCTTTCTCCCTCCTTCCTTCCTTCCTTCTTTCCTCCCTCCCTCCCTCCCTCCTTCCCTCCCCTTAGTCTCTCCTTCCTTCCTTCCTGTTTTCTTTTTCTGTTTGTCTCAGCCTCCTAAGCTCTGGCATTATAGGTCAGCTTGATTATAAATCACACTTGAAATGCAAAGGCAGGTAAACGCTGCCCAGGAATCCACTCCTTACACGCAGGGCAGGGCTAGCCTCTCTTGCAGTCACCAGTCAAGCCTGCCTCTTCCTTTCCTTGGTGCCCTGCCTCCAGCCTCTTACCTCATGCTGAGAAATCTGAGCTTGCAGCTCCTGGATGTTACTGGTGGCCACAGGCGTGTCCTGGATCTCCCGGTGAGCTCCTTCGATCAGCTGCTGCAGATGCTTCATCTCTTGCTCATATTGTTCATATTGCACCACAGCCTCCTTTGGAAGGGAAAAGAAAACCACCATTTCACCTTAAATCACTAACGGGTAATTGTACAGACAGTGTTACCTCCAGTTCCCCTGGGTCCAGGCAACCAGAGATGGGTAGAATCTTTAGATGGCTCAAGTTCTCAACTTAAGCAATGCCAAAATTTTTTCTTTAAAATATTATAGTCAGACCCTAATGACTTATGCCTGTAATTCCTAGCTACTCAGCAGATTGGAATCTGAGATCTTTACTGCCAGCCTGGGTAGTAAAGCTTGTGAGACTCTTATCTCCAATTAACTACCCCAAAACCAGAAATGGAGCTATGGACCAAGTGGTAGAGCACCAGTCTCAAGCACAAAAGTTCAAGGACAGTGCTCAGGTCCTGAGTTCAAGCCCCAGAACAAGCGCACACACAAACATTATAACAGAATTACTGATGGAATCAAAATAGGTACATGGTTAGGATGCTCTTCTGCCTACTCATACTAAATGATAGGCAGCTGTCAGAAGGCCGAATTGTACATAAGACTCTTGGTTTTTTTTTTTCTCCATTGAAGAAATACTGAACAAATAAACCCGTGGACGAGCGCTGAAGTACAAGATAAAAACATGAACATGCAAGATTTCTAGCTTCAGGAAGTTAATGTTGAACAATTTACCTGGTAATGTAAGAAGCAAAGATAGTTGAAAGAAATGAATCACTAGTGTCAGGTGTAGTGACATGTGCCTGTAATCCCAGCTTTCAGGAGGTGGAGCTGGAGGATGGTAAGTTTGTGAGCAGCCTGGGCTATGTATCAAGTTCAAGGCAGCCTGTCTGCCAATAAAAACCTATCCCCAAATAAACAAATAAATAATACTGCTTTTAGAGGGCTGATATTTTTGATAAAAATGCAGATTCTAAGTGAAGATGATCTACATTAAATTTCATCATTTGAGGTCAGTGATTTCTATTTTTTTTCTTTTATTAGGTGACAAGACAAAGAGTTTTTCTTGGGGCAAAGGTATTCAATAGTACATTTTCTGGTATAAGAAAATATATTTAATAAATCAAGAAGCTGAAAAAGAGAAAATATCTGATACCAGCCTCTGTCACCAGGTTCTAAATGACCGGCAGATGAATCAAAGACAGAAAATAAATAGTAGCATAGATGGTTTGCTCTACAAGTCATCCTTTGTGCGTGCGTGTGTGTGTGTGTGTGTGTGTGTGTGTGTGTATTTATATATATATATATATATATATATATATATATAAATCAACAAAAGATAGTTTTCACCAAAGGATATTTTTAATAGCGTGTTCCCGGGGTTTTGTGGCTGATCCAAACGCTAGCATTTGAATCTCATTTTATGTAAGCCGTCGGTCTGATTTAGCACTGGGGATGTGTTTTGATGGCTGAGCCCACACAAAGCTAAGAAAAGCAGCCGGTGGCTCATTGGCCGTGGCCGGCTGGCAGAGCCCCGGGCCAGCCCCGGCAGAGCTGCACCTGCCTGCATGATGTTGCATTGCTGGATGGCTGAGTGCTGCAGCCGGCTGGCTTCCTCCTGCAGCCGCAGGGCGGCGTGGCACAGCGGCAAGGTGGTGACCACGTCCTCTGGGATCCGGAGTGCGCTCTGGCAGAGCTGCACAGCTTGTACCCTCGGCTTGAGTGACTCCATCTCCGACAGCAAGTGCTGGAAGGACAGGGACATCACTCAAAGCTTGAACAGGGACATCGGTTCGTGCAGAAGATAAAAGGTACAAACCCAGCAGCTCCCACCTGTAATCCTAGCTACTCAAAAGGCTAATATCTGAGGGTCGTGATCTGAAGCCACGTGAGGCAGGAAAGTCAGCAAGACTCTTCTTATTTCCAATTAACCACACACAACACAGCTGGAAGTAGAGCTATGGCTCAAGTGACAGAACACCAGCCCTGAATAAAATTACTAAGAGATATTGCCCAGACCAGTACACACCCACCAAAAAGACAGTTACTGGACTACAGCTACAAGTTATCGCCATTTTGTAAGGAATAGATCTTTTTCACTAGTGCAGTGCTAAGACGCTAATGCAAGGTAGAAAGCATACCCTTCACATCCTATGTTTCAAATGTCGGCCCACCTCCATCCACCCTAAGGTAATTTTGCTCACCTGTCGATGGGACAGTTGCTCCTTGAGAGTACAGCGACCAACTTCTGGAGAGGTCAGCATGGCCTGGGCCTGTTCCAAAGCGGCCTGTAAGTTTCTTAGCTCAGCCTCAAATTTTTTCATATCCTGGAGAGTAAAAGTTAGGTGAACATCAACACTGCAGTTCAAAGTCATAAATGAAGGCTGCTAGCATCAGTCAGACAGGGTGGGTGGGAAAAAGTTTTGAGGACCTCACTGCACCCCGCCACATCTCAATCAATCAAATGCTGCTTCGGGTGCTGTGTGCTTGTCATCTGAGCTCTACAGGAGTTTTAAACAGGAGGCTAGCAGTCCACTTGAGTGTAAATGCCAGACCGTATGCTAAGAGTAAAGAAAGCGAAAAGGATCGGGGGTGTGGCATCACCTTTTTTCATTGTTACATGTACCTTGGCTGCATCTTGGAGATTCTGTAGTCGGATTTTGATGATTTGCTGTAACTCCTCAGTCTCCCGGCCCAGGTCTGCCACTTGCTGACACATTTTCTCGGTGTGGTACATGCTAGCGAGGCACTGTAATTTCTCAGCCATTGCTTCCAGACTGCCATCGATTTCTTCAGATTCTTCTAGCAGGGTCTAGAGTAAATTTTCACTATGCATGAAACTGGCAGGCAGGCACGGTTACAGCCAGCAAGCGCCGCGTAGCTGAAGCCCAGCAGGCTGGGAAGGTTGCTAAGAGAACTGAGAGGGAATCCCCTGTGCATCTCACAGGTTCCTCTTGTGTGCTTGCTACCGGCTGGACCTGCACACCTATGCCATTCCCGTTTAACAGAAAAACAAAGCCCAAGAACCTTCACAGGTCACGCCAGGCTGTGTGACAAGAGCTCCAGCTCTGCCCGCCTTAGGCTGCATCTTGGCGAGAGTCAGGTCGGGAGAATTCCAGTCACACTGACCATGCCTCTAGGTCTGCCTCTTCCCACGTTGGAACTAAAGAAGGAGTTGACTGAGTAAGGGTACTGGTGGCTCATGTCTATAATCCTTAGCTACTCAGGAGGCTGAGGCCTGAGGATCAAGATTTCAAAGCCAGCCCAGGACAAAGTCCAGTCCGTGAGACTTTTATCTCCAGAAATGGAGCTGTAGCTCAAGTAGGGGTAGAGTGCTAGCATGGAGCAAAAATAAAGCTCAGGAGCGGTGGCTGGAACCAGTACACAGGTGCCCTTCCTACCCTACTTGTCAGCTCTTCTGTTCTATTTAAGATCTAGATGTCTATCACTCAAAAAAGCTAAAACAAGACAAGAGCAATACAAAGAAACAAAAATCATTGAGGACTTGTGACAAGTAAGACAAAGAGGTAAAAGTCAACTGCAATGTGAAGAGAAGGAAAGAAGGGAGTTGGGGGACGGTCTCCTACTGTTGCTTTATTTAACAACCCAAGGGCTTTCTCCCTGTACTTACCAAACTGTATTGCAATGATTCTTCCCTAGCATGGCTCAAGTAGTAGAGCAACAGCCTTGAGCAACAGCCACAAGGCTCTGAGCCCAAGTCCCCCAGTACCAGTAGTGAATTAAGTAAGGAAAAAGAGAAGAAATGATCTCTTCTCTAACTGATCTGCTCCATGGGGTAGGGACAAGGAGTCTTTTATTTGTTGTATTCCTAATGCCTATCCAAAGTCCTAGATTGGGAAAGTTCTCTCATAGTACAACAATGAACAAGGACAGGAGCTACTAAAAAAAGAAGAAGAAGAAGAATGTCCATAGTACTTTTAAGGACTGCATGATATTCTTTTCAGGCAAATGTTTACCCGGAAATGTTATTTGAGAGTTAAATTTTTAAGTATTTCTTTAAAGCTTTACTACAGTTTCTAATAGCACATAAAATAATTTTTGACAATTGGGATGATAGCCATAATAATGAATCCAGCAAGTGTAATTAATAGGCCAGAGCAGTGACCTCTTTGATGATCACTATCTACTTTAATAATTATTCTTTAAAACTTTTTAAAAATCAGATTATATGCAGCTTTTGAAAGTTCTTGATTCTCTTTCTTTCTTCCCCTTCGTTCCTTCTCCCCCTTCCTTCCTTCCTTCCTTCCTTCCTTCCTTCCTTCCTTCCTTCCTTCCTTCCTTCCTTCCT